TTCTGGAAATTCGAAATCATTTTCGAAATGCAATGAGTCATTTTGTTCACCTTAACTTTGACAGCCGCATATATCGGAAGTTTTTAATATCAGTTATCAGAATAATACGAAGACGACTCTTCAAACAGCCAATGGTGCTGTATTTAGATCAAGAGATTTTATTTTGTCACTTGGTTCTCAACGTTTTCTAGAATCAGTAAGTTTAGAGAAGTTAAAATATCCGTTAAGTGAGTACGAGATAAGGTCACAGTAAAATCTACAATGTAAAGGAGAAAATTGTTTATAGCAAATGCTCGCCGAATTTCAACGAATCCATATATAAATTCCTCGAGCGTTTTCTAGTTTATAGAAAATCGTATTTATGGAAATTTAAGACGAATTTCTAGTAAGTAGAAATTCAACGATTTGTATAAAGTGGGAGAATCGGTAATGAATTTATGTACACGAGAAATTCTTCAGCGATTTTCTAGTTGATTTTCCATAAACTAGAAATTAACTCAAGATTACAGTGTAAATAATAATCACCAAATAAACAGACACTGTTTGATCTTATCGTCTTTGTACCAATCAAAATAAAAAACGCAAAATGGTTTAAATTTCTTAAAATGGCATGTCTATTGCTTTCCCGATATAAAATAAGTGCCGATGATGGGCTTTTGGAAAAGTAATGAACTATAGCTTTATAAAAAAAGTGCCAGTACCAGCTTTACCCTCTGTGCTCAGGCCTTGAAACAGAGAGCTGTATCGTAAAAGCTAGTTAATTTCTTTTGAGAGTACATTATTTCTCCAAGAGAAAAGAGCTGTAATGTAGTCATCATCACTTTTTTCCAGAATCGCTACGTTATACGTCAAGCAAATTTTTTCTTTTTTTTTATATATAGCATTTTCCAAGTTGACTGAATTTACTGATGGTGATGGAACATAGTACAATAATTTTTCTTTTGCTGTTTGCTACCTTTTCTTTCAGAGGATAAATTATAAACATCAACATTTGAGAGCATTCTTAACCTAGGAATCCGTTAGGTTTATGCAGCCTCAGAGAAGCTTTTTCTTTTGTCATTTAATGTTTCAAGTCTCTGCTTCTCGGAGCATACTAAAATATCTAAACATGACATCATATAATTACATAAACGCCAAAAAAATCCTTAACGATATTCCAAATATCTGGAAATTAATTCCATTTTTCGAATTTCCAAAAGTCCATATAGAAAATCGCCAAGGAATTTCCAGATTGAAAATCGCTGAGCATTTCCCATAATTCTGGCAAATCGAACTGGATATTCGGCTTCGAATTTTAAGAATTATGGAAAATTCAGATCGAATTTCCAACTTCTTGTAAATTTGATTTTCTAGAATCTAGAAAATCCTCAAGGAATTATATACGGACTTTTTGAAAAGCGCTGAGCACTTTCTATAAATAATTCCCGACATTACAGTGTAAGAAAAAAACCAAAAAAAATCTCCTATCAATTTAGTTTTACTTTTACAGTTCACTGGTTTATCGCCATCCTGGTTTGAAACAAATGCCTACAATTCTTCTGGCTAATATGATCCATGAAACTAAACAAGAATCAACACATCTTCAATTCGTGAGATATCTTAAAGACCATATTCCAGATATTGAAGATAAATTTTTTCTTGTAACTGATGATGAATTGGCTTTCAAGAATAGTTTTAAAAAAGAATATCCATTGCTGTCGTAGCACAGATGTTGGAATCACCTTTTAAAAAATATCTACAAAAGAACAATAAGATACAGAAAAAAGAAAGCTGAAGAAGAAGCAAACGAGAATGGTAAAGACAGTAAATACAGGAAAAAACGGATTCTTTAACACTTTTTCATTAAAGAAAGTCAACAGTCACAAGAAGAAGGTGATCAAAATCAAGAAGAACTCAACAGTGGTGACAATGAAATTGGCATGACAGAAGAAGGTAAAACATATTGCACAGAATTATCTTATAATCCACATGAAAAATTTATTTTCCAGAGCTGGACTCATATATTGAATTTCTTGAAGAGCTGGACAATATCTTACATGATCATTTGTATTGTCAAACGATCACTCATCAGCCAATAGAAGAAGAAACAACAAATTCTACAACTACAAATGTTATACTCATCGAAGAATCGAGAAAGCAAACGGCAACGCGTTACTGTCGAGATGTTCGTTATCTTCTGTCACACAAAATTAAACAAGCGTTTGAACGAGATTTACCCATATTACAAGGAAATTGGTCAACTGATTTTATCAAATATTTTAATAGATATATACTCCTTGATATCGACGAACTCGGTAAGTCAGTTAGCAAGTATCTCCATCTCAAACTAAAACACCGCAGTCACTCAGCACTAATTCAGTTACCTGCATTCAATACGAAAACACTTTCTCCCTGGACGAGATGGGCTCAACGCGGAGAAACAACAAGCCGACACAGACAAGTCCTCCCGATGAAGTTGCTCGTCAAAGCCGAGCTCAACTATGGTTGGATGAACTCTACTTCAATTAAGAACTTCAATTGAATAGGATAGGTTCTTGTAATTAATGGGCATAATATGTCCACTTTCCTTTTGCATCAAAATGTGAAATTCAAGTCTCGTTGTACATTTCAGCAAAAATGGACCGAACCCCACAAATCCAGAAATGAAAAAATCTATAAATAAAGAAATGTATAAATGCAGAAATGAAAAAATCAAAGAAATAAAGAAATGCAGAAATGAAGATATCTAAAAATAAAGAAATGTAAAAATGAAGAAATCTATAAATCCGAGAAATGTAAAAACGTAGAAATGTATAAATCTATAAATCAAGAAATTTATAAATGCAGAAATCCAGAAATAAAAAAATGGGAAAATCTATAAATAAAGAAATGTATAAATCAAAGAAATGCAGAAATCTAGAACGAACGCAATCAAAGAAATCCAGAAATCAAAGAAATAAAGAAATCGAGAAATCATGGACTTTTAGATGTATAACTCTGTTTTATGAAATTTGCACCTTTGTTGTAGATTTTTACTCCATGAGGTATGAATTGCACATAGTTCTGGCTTTTTGTTAGTTAATTTTGTGTAGAAGTTGTGCACTTATTGGAGTGGTTTAGAAATTATTTTTATTGATATCATAACAAATCTCACAACTATCGATTCTGTTTAGGCATGTGGACAATTTATGAAATTGACGTTAAAGATTTATTTAAAAGGACTGTTACTTCCAACTCGGTGGAGGGAGTAAATTTTGTTTTTAAACAACCGACAAGTTGGAAATCTGTGACAATTGATCGGTTGATATTAATATTAAATTTTTTACAAGGCTATTTTATCAATGAACTACAACGTGGATACTGTGGCATTGGTAAGACCGTTCATAACTGTTATCTGATTGTACAATTCTGTTTTTTTAGGTGATTACACATTAAAGCCAGAATATGCTAAATTACAAATGGATATATTAATGTTGGAATTTTTACAGTCATATGATCCACATGAAATTGTTAACAGAATTAAAAATTTAGATTTAGCAGTTAAAGATGATGGGCAAGATGAACGTCGACAATTGCCTCTCGCATCAATCGACCTTTCACAAATCATGTTTAGCGATCCGAAACAAATAGAATTAACTAGTTCTGGTATGCTATTTATTTAATATTTTTTATTATACACAAGTTTTCTTGCCTTTAGGTGCGATCATGGTCAAACAAAAAGATAATTCAATTTTCACAGTTCAACTAATGGCTCACAGAATGTTTCAATGTTCATGTGGATTATCTCGTACAACGAGAGGTGTGACTGAATGTGTTCATATCATTGGTGCTAAAAGAAGATTAAATATACCCATCGAAAAACCAGTATCAAAACAGAATTGTGCTGTTCTCCGTAAAGGAATGAAAGCAAATCTTGGTATTAAGAAAACAGGACAAAAAAAAACAACTGTGTTAGATAAAGAAAATGTAAGAAATTGAGAATACGACATTTTGCCAATTATATTTAGTCTCTTTTTATTTAGAAAACACTACCGGCAAGTGCAACGACGAAAAATTTAACGATTCAGAAGAAGACGACAGCGAAAGTAAGTTTCATATATCTAGGAGCCTTTCTCATAAAATCTGGTGCTCGTTCTAGAGAAAACAAACGTTATTATCATTGGATGATTAGGAAGATTCTGTATTAGCATCGCCTGAAAAAGTAAGTTATAAGCTCTATACGCTACTCACTATTCAATTTGTCCCTTTTCTGAATACTAGCGACCAGCACTAGTGGAATGGAACCAGCAAAGTGAATTTTTCTCATATTAAAGGTGATTAATTTTTGACAGTTGCTTTCTAGTGCACATACCTAAACCAGACAAGCCAACAGATAAACCAGCTCCTAATTGCAAGAATGCTCTAGAAGACAAAACACACATAATAATACACAAACAATATGCAATAAAAAAGAATAGATCAATATATTACTTGAATAGTCCATAACCTTCTCGTTGAATATTATTTGCAATTAGGACCGCAACGACTAGACCATAAATAGCGATAATACCAGCCATTACAACTGGAATAACCGATTTCATTATAAATTCTGGTCTCATAACAGCCATTGCTGATATATCACAACCAGATTTTGCTGTACCATAAGCAGCACCGAGTGCTAGAAATGGAAAAATAGTAAAGTATTTTCATGATGTATTGAGGAAAAAAAAGGGTTATATCCGTGTAACTACATGTCTTTTGTAGAAAATTTCTTAAAATACCTGAGTTGCATTATATATAATGAACCAACCACTTCGTTCATTCGTGAACATATTTATTTACGAACGTTCACTTTCTAAGATGTCCAATTGAAAATTCACTTGTCAACATGGCGTGGACGACAAAAATTTATCACATGGATGGAAAAAGACATCTCTTGCTTCATGTAGCTCAATTACATTAGAAAAATACAAAGTGATTGAATGAAAATTTTAGAAAAACTCCAAGTGTATTGTTTAGAAAAATTCCAATGGAAAAGAAAAATTCGTTTTTTCAGTTTATATGCACTAATGATGTTGATGTGATTTGAAATTTTCGTCCTGAAAATTGTCGGTACTCGCAAAACTCTTTTCGGTTTGAAAAGAGAGAGAAACATGTTTGTTTGTGTATGTATATATAAATAAAACATGCTCAACAACAGGCTCAACTGTGCTACTTGTTTGAATCAAATCAACTAATATCTTTAATGATGGAATATTGAATAAATCATTATCAGTATGATAATTCAATAAATTTTGAAGTATAATAATTGACATTTTTCTAAAAAGAAAAAGGAAATTATATAAAGAAAAATTTAATAAAAGTTTTTATCAAAACTTTAGTTTACCGAAAATTTGCATCAGTGTCGTCATTACTTATAGTTATAGGCGTAATAAATATTGCTTTTTCTCGAGACTTGTTGTTGTGATTGTTATCGGAAGACTATGAATCAACGTTTGAAATTCGTCAAACAATTCCATTTTTTTAATATTCAAATATTGGGAAGTATTTGGTTTTGATCTAGAACAATTAAAATTTAACAATGTACCAGTACATGTAAGACAACCGTTTTTAGCTACTTTCAGGTCTAGTTTTTTTTTATTAGCTATCGCATTTAGGCATCATTTACGTATTAGATAATCAATTTATGGACTTCTTTAGGTCCCTGCCCTCCAGTATTCCTAATAGCAAAGTGTACTAGTGGGCTTTAATCAAACAAATTAAACCCACTAGTGGCTTCTTTTCTTTTGAATATATAAAATTTATCCTTTAGCTGATTACGACGACTATACTGTTCAGATTGTGTATTTGTTTTGATAAGTAGCTATGGTTTACTTTATGAAGAACATGGATATGGCTCGTTATTGAATAGGAGAAACTAAAAGCATGACTTTAACGGAGAGCACCAACCTTTTACTTCTAGATTCTATTTATGTACTGCATGTAGTATAATCTGCAACATTGCAACTTATACAAGACTTAGGGCCTCAACTCAGGCGCTCTAAAATTTTGAGATCTCCAGACTATTTCCAGAGGATATCTCAGATTATTCTGGTAAGCCCTATTTTTGCATTTTACCACATCTTATTTATTTCTTTTTCTTCTCATTCTTATCTTTGAAAAATCGTTTCCTTGACACAATAAGTGTCATAGGGGTGATTGAAGGTGAACGAACTTGTTTGCTAACTTTTTCATTCTATAGACAATAGTGTACACAGCAGATCAACTCTATACATTCGGTGTTTTCTAGATCGTGTATGTTACTTGAAATTTTGTTTTCAACATTTTATCTTAAGGGAGGAGGACCTCTCACTTGGATTTTTTTCATCAGTTTGTACAGGACACTTCAGAATAGACAGATCCAACTTTTTTTCGATTATCAGATTTGTCATTTTTGAGAAAAAAATGTTTTACGT